CATGACAACTGTGATAAAAGCAATAAAGGAAAATTACATATGAAAATAGACTCCAACACTGCCTGAGATGTGAAAGAAAAGGCTTCTGAGGAACAGATATTTAAGTGAGCACCTAAACAAGGGGTTTGGCGAAGGGAAGAGTGAAAGGACGACTCTTGCACCAACACAAAACGATGTGTGAAGATGCTGAGGAAGCAGGGGGTGCATTGCCTTCCAAGAACTGAAAGCAGATCAGTGGGAAAGATGAGGCTGGACTCAAAGGCAGAGTTCAGACTGCGCAGGTCCTTGCAGACTTAAACATTTTGGACTTCACACCAAAGACACTGGAACTTAGAAGTGACCATCCTATCTGTATTTTTAAAATATCACCCTGGTTGCTGGCTGGAGAATGGTTGAGAGGGAAAACAGAGGGAGGCAGGAAACCAATCAGAGCGGGAGTACTGAACTTAGAGGTGGGAGGGGAAGACCGGCGCTGAGTAGGGAATTTACAGGGGGATTCAAGATCTACGTGGCACGTATGCTACTGACTAGCAACTGACTGAATATGGGAAATGAGAGAGAAGCTTCAAGGCGGATCCTAGGTTTCTGGGGTGAGTAAGCAGGCAGATGATGCTCCTTCTATTAAGATGAAGAGCAGCACAGGCCAGATTATGGGAGAATGGGAAATCCAAGGTTTGGTTTGGGATATGTTCGAGAAAGGATGTCATATTAGCCAAATGATGGTGGAGCTCATTAGCAAGCTAGGGTGGAGATATAAATTTGGCAGCCTTGGGGTGCAGTCAGTTAAGTGCTCGACACTTGAATTTGGCTCAGGTCATGATCCCAGGGTTGTGGGATGGAGCTCACACTGAGCATGAAGACTGCTTGGGATTCTCTGTCTCTGTCTCTCTTTCAAAAAAAAAATATTTTTTTTAAACTTATATTTCGCAACCTTTGGCCAGTAAATAGCATTTGAAGCCATGGGAATAGAAGGGATTGCCCTGAGTGACAAAGTGGAGTTGGAAGACTGCACAGCAAAAGAAACAACAAAACTAAAAGGCAACTGGCTGAATGGGAGAAGATAATTGCAAATAATCTACTGGATAAAGGGTTAGTATCCAAAATCAATGAAGAACTTATCAAACAACACCCAAAAAAATAATTCAGTGAAGAAGTTATCCAAAGGATACAAAAATGCAGATTCGAAGGGACACATGCACCCCAATGGATATAGCAGTGCTATCAACAATCGCCAAAGTATGAAAAGAGCCCAAATGTCCTTCAATACACACCATGGAATACTACTCGGTGATCTAAAAGAATGAAATCTTGCCATTTGCAACAACATGAATGGAACTAGAGTGTTTATGCTAAGCAAAATAAGTCAAAAAAAGACAAATATATGATTTTACTCCTATGTGGAATTTGAGAAACACAATAGATGGACATAGGGGAAAGGAAAGAAAACTAAAAACAAAGAGGGAGGCAAACCATAAGAGACTCTTAAATTCAGAGAAGAAACTGAGGGTTGCTGGAGGGGTGTTGGGTGGGGAATGGGCTAAATGGGTGATGGGTATTAAGGAGGACACTTGTGGGATGAGCACTGGGTATTATATGTATGGGATGAATCACTGAGTTCTATTCCTAAAGCCAAATACTATACATTAATTAAATTGAATTTAAATAAATTTTAAAAACAACAACAAAGTGGAGTCGGAAGAGAAAATGGTTTAGGGCTGAGTCCTAAAGAAGTCCCAATGTTTAAAGTGCATGAAGATGAGCCCACAGAGAAGAAAGAAAAGGCTAGAAAGCTAATAAGATGGCAAACAGAACATAATGACATGAAAGCTAAGGGAAGATATGGTTTCAAGAAGGAAGGAGAGGGGCACCTGGCTGGCTTCACCAGTGGAACATGTGACTCTTGATCTCAGGGTTGTGAGTTCGAGCCCCATGCTGTGCATAGGGCCTACTTAAAAAAAAAAAAAAAAATCAGAGATACTCCGAATTCCTTCAACCCCATTTGATTTTCTTTATTTGAGCCTCTAAAGCATTCTGACCATACCTCTAATCTTGCTTTTTACTACAATTCTGCTTTATACTGTTTTATTTCCCTATTAAAATATAAAACCCCTGAGTCAAGAGTGATGGCTTAGTCACCTCTATCCCTAAAAGCGCCTATAACAGTTCTTTGCAAAAGGTATTGTATAGACATTTTTACAATTATGAAGTACACAAAATGGCTCATTTAAAAATTTAGCTGTTCCAGACATGGTATAATCAAGAAATATTAAAGACTCAGAAATTACACTGTAAGACAGTAAGAGCCACAGTCAACAAAATCTGTTAAAATAAATCTAGTCCTATCATGAAGGGCAGATATTTATCATTCTCCTGCCTCAGAAACTAACGAATGGTGACTCAGAAAACAAATTCCACAGCACGACAATATGAAATCAATACTAAATAAACATCATCGTTGTCATCTATTTTACTCAGTGATTTAGCTCAGTATGGAATCAGATACCTTTTAGTCATCTGAGAAAACATACAGAACTTTCTGGACATCTGCTGCTGTTATCAGAGTCCTATGGCTTAATATAGTTATGTAGTTAATACAGTTATCACTATATAATTTTAGTTACCAGTTTTAACTAATCAAATATAGTTATTTTAGAGATCAGATTTTCTATACATACATGAAAAAACCTAAAAATCAATAACTGCCAAGTTAAAGAAATCTCACCAAGAAAGGACTAAAAATGCATGCAGGATTCATCTTCAATTTACCCAAAAAATACCCAATTCTGGAGGGTAACGCTAACTCTTTTAATATCTTTTTAAATACTAAACCTCCATTTCAAAATGGACATCATACTTCATATACACTCACTTTTCATAATTCTTTCCTCAGCTCAATGTTTCAGCCAAAACTTCACACGCTTGAAATTGCTGAACAGTAATTTCAGCTGCCCCATCAAGAGAACATTAGTAGATGTCTGTTAATTTTGTGTGTCAGCCTGACTGGCCAGGAGTGCCCCGATTACAGGTTATATCTCGGTGTCTGAGAGGGTGCTTCTGGACAGGATTATTTGCCTCACTGGGCTTGGAAAAATTTCCTCCGCAATGTGGGAGGGCATCTTTTGGTCTGCTGAGAACCTGAATATACTAAAGGGAGATGAAAAAGGAATTGATCCCTTTTTTCCTGCCTCACCTCTGAGATCTCATATTCCCCTGCCCTCATACTGGGATTCATACCATTAGTTCTTCTGGTTCTCAGGCCTTCAGATTCAGACTGAATTATACTATTGTTTTGGGTCTCCAGCCTGCATGACAGATTGTGGGATTTCTTAGCTTCCATAAACACATGAGCCAACTTCTCATAATTCAAAAAAATGTATTTTTAAAACTATATATACATTCTATTGGTTCTGTTTCTCGGAGAAACTCTAATACAGAATACGGTGTATATACAAATACTTTTTTATCTGGTACTTCCCTCAATATACCCCATCAAATACCAAAAGGAAATATATATCCTTTGAAATATCCTTTACCTTCATGATATAAAATAGTGAAATTTACTGAAAATTCCTAAAATCCTTCAGAAATAAGCAATTATTTTATTAAACAGACAATAACAATTTGGGAGAAAATTTTGGGAAATACGGTTTCAGTACATTAGTATCAGAGAAATTCACATAACTGTATTCGGGCAGAAGTTCGCTTTAGCTTATTTTCAGACCACAATTACATGGGCTCAAAATCCCATTGGTTTCTTCTTAATGGTCTGGTAAGTGCTGGCACTGACATACTTCGATGATAATTTCTCTAGAAGGTCTGCTAAAAGAAAAAGTCATGCACAAGCAAATCAAAGCTGAATAGTGATGTTGTATTTTGACATGGGCTGCAGCTACCTAACTGTATCGATCTGAAAGCTTATAAATAAGCACAGTGTTAGGGATTAGCATTGTATAAACTGTCATTTATCAGTGTGAACCCTTCCATGGCTTTCTCTGGTCATCCAGCACCATTTTGATTCCCTTTGCCTTGTAATAAGTGAGAAAAGGTCAAGAAATACCCAAGTAAAAACAAAGACAAGTTATTTTTGCTTACTATCTCATTTTTTTATTACCAGCTCCTAATGTTTTCCTCATAATATGAGCAGCTATTCACAGAAAAGTGTGTTTCTTTTTATATTTCATGTAAAGCTTCAAAGAAACAACTAGAATATCATTCATATTCAGTACCTCTTGCACCAGAAAAAGGCGTAAGTAAAACTAATTAAAATATTTGGGAACTTAGTTGTGTCAATACTACTCTAACTGAAAGGTCTTTTTTAAGTGAAAAGATTTTCTTTTTCTTCTTTTTTATTTACCTATGATTCTAAGACATACAAGAAACCAAAAAAAAAATCACACTGTCTCTGAAATTATACATTATATACATATTGCAAAAACATTAAACATTAAATAATTTAAAATTGAGTTAAATACATGACTACATATAATAAATTTAGGAATTGAAAGCATTAATAGAACACAAAAAACCACTCAAATTAAATTCTAGATTTTTTTTTTCCTAAAAGCTAATATACTTATTTGGTGGCTATTAAAACAGGTGTATCTGCAGAGGGTTTGTAAGGCAGTGAGGTTACTCTGTATGCTACTACAGTGGTGACTATATGACCTTCTGCACTTGTCAAAACTCACAGAATGGACGACACCAAGAGTGAACCCTAATGAGTCCCTAATCTAGGGACTTCGGGTGATAAAACTGTGTCAATGTAGGCTCAATGATTTTAGCAAATGTGTCCTTCTGGTGGCCTATGCTGCTGATGAGCAAGGTGTGTGTCCCAGGTACCCCTTACCCTGGGAACTCTTTGTACTTTCCTCCCAATTTTGCTGCGGACCTAAAACTGCTCTAAAAAAATAAGGTCTTTTGTCTCAGATTGATTGTCAAGGTGATTTCTCTTGAAACTTCATGTGAGTATTGACCAGTATGCCATTTTTCACAAATCTCAGAAAAAAAAAATTATTTCCAAATGCACGGTGTCAGAGAGTACCTGTCAACACCAACAGTACAACATAAACTCTAGGGAGTAGAAGCAAAGGACGTGTACATTGGGTATATTTTGTAGCTTTTGGAGATGGTACCTAGGAAAAGAGGAATTAAGGGTTTATTTGAAAAAATGTTAATGAGACATTCAGACCACAAGAACTAGAATGAAGAGAGTATGCTAAAGCTATACCAAAGTTATCTTCTAGTCTAAGATATCACCATCTACCTCCTGGCATGTGTGAAACAAGGTAAGAGAGAAAGAAAAGTGAAAGGTCATGGTCACAGAGCACTGGGCCTACTCATTAGCAAAACTAAAGTCAGACTTTCTAACATCAAGGATGGCATTATCTGTTTCTCCAAACAGCTATTCTTTTGCCAGAGTTTGCACAGCTGACTAACCTGAAATTATGCCCACATACTGACTTCTAGTGAGTCCCTGAGAGAAACTGCGATAGAAAATATGTGCCACATAATGTTATCATGTATGGTTTCTTAAAAACATGGGAAAATAGCATTGTGGATTATAGAACTGGTAGTTTCTATATATAGGCACACACATACACACACACACTAAAAAAAGGGAATAATTATCATAATTATCATAAAATTTTGAACGTGGCAATGAGGAGGGGCTATATTGATGATAATTTATTCTAACTCCAATTAAAAAAAAGGGTAAAATATCTGAGGGAGGAAAACAGCAAAATGTATACAAACTAGGTTTCCAATTAAACTTCAATCTTCTGGTGTTTTCATTTACTCTTGCCAAAACACAGCGTTCTGTATTTGAGTTTCTTAGAGATAAATAATTTATAAAGTGATGCCTTATGGGTAAGAAATAAGAAACATAGGGTACAAGTTTTCCCCAAATACAGAAGAGCTGAAGCGATTCAATGATTCACATTTGTTTTCTGAGAGAAGAGACATAGCAAGAGGTAAGCAGTGGAGTCAAGATCTAATCAAGAATGACTAGCACTGAAATAGTCGGTAGTAAAGTCTTCTAAATGTCTAAGGTATACTAGATTTTTAATATCTAGGTAAAGACTTAAAAAACCCCATAAATAATTTAGCAATCACTACCTATGGTTGAAATTCTCATTGATTTTATATTATTTAGTTGTGCCAGCAATACTGCTTTTTATTTTACTGTCTATTTTGGCATAGTTTTAAAACATTCCCTTTACTTTGGATATCTTATATAATTCATCCCATTTTTTTTAAACCAAATTTAATTCTCTATAAGATCCATTATACATTATAACTATGACCTCCATAAATAAATTGACAAAGGTATTGATTTGTCTCTTTTCATGGGCAGCAAATTGAAATCATAAATCTTCTAAAAGTTCTTCACCAAATTAATGTGTGACGTCTTCAAGATGGATTTAACTTGTGCCACTTGATAACAACCTTTTCTGGATTTGTAATGGTTTCTTTCCACTGATTCACGGCTTCAGTGTTATTACTGTCTTCGCTTATCCAAATCTAGAAAGGAACAGTACAACCATTTAATAGTGTCTGAGTTCAAACAGTTAATTACTCATATAGATGAAAGACAAGTGGAAGTCTGGTTCATATATTTTCAGTTAAACTTCTAAAACTTTGATTTCTATTTGAAACTTAAATGTTAAAACACTTAACCTACTTAGTCACCCTGAAAACTAATTTATATGAATCAGTCCAATTTAAAAACTCAACATGACAGGGCACCTGGGTGGCTCAGTCAATTGAGCGTCTGATTTTGGCTCAGGGCATGATCTCACACTCTGTGAGTTCGAGCCCCGCATCGGGCTCTGGGCTGACAGCTCAGAGCCTGGAGCCTGCTTCGGATTCTGTGTCGCCCTCTCTCTCTGCTCCTCCCCTGCTCATGCTCTGTCTCTCTGTCTCTCGAAAAGAAATAAACGGTAAGAAAAAAAAAATTCAACATGGGATATTATAAAATCATTTCTCCTAAGACAGTAGTTAGTATCCTTTCTTATTCAATAAGTCTAAGTCTCAACTTAAAATTGTTCCTGATCATTTGAAACATTTCTGTGAGGATTAACTGAGACTAATCATTATTTAAGCTAGGTTAAGAAATGTCCATTCTAAGCACTTTTACATTAGATACTGCTGTGATTTTAATGGAAATCTAAACTAACTTTAGGTAATAGACATGAATGAACTTGAGAAAAGTGCAAAGCATCATGCAAACGTAAGGCATCACACTGCTTACATACCACAGAGGCAACATGGGCAAGGAACCCAAAGCCTGAATTCTCACCTCAGCTGTGGCACTACCAAGTGCCGCACTTGTGGAATTCACTTCTGTGAGACTCAGTTTCTAATTCTTTTAAATAAAGAAACTGGAGCAGATCACGGATTTTCAACTTCTTTCCTCTTAATATCCTGATCTGAAGAACTTTTCCTTCATATAAAATCTTACAAAGAACCTTAATATAAGAATCAGATAACCCCAGCATGCTCTGGCTAGTGTGAGGGTGGGCAGACCTTGAGGCCACAGTTGGCTCCCCCATCATGGTAGCTCCTAAGGACACCAGAGAAGCCAGAGGGAACAGATGGCCAGCAAGAACCCTTCCAGAATTGTTCTTCTTCACCAGACTCTCAACCAAGAAAGTGGAATCACCAAAGAAGTTATGCTGAAAATCACCTGTCAAGGAAATCTCCCATTCCATTCCTACATGATAGCCAAGGCTTGGTGGGACAGGAAACTCTAACTGAATGCAGTTAGTTTGAAAAGTATGCTACCTATGAGTTCTTGAGTCCAAACTTTTTCTCAAATAGGAATAAATGAAGAACAACAAAACTGTAATTTTTTAAATAAATATTTTAGGTAAAATACATGAAGAAAGGGGTCAAAAAGTATCAGTCTCTGAAAATTCACATATAATTTAAGGATTTCACACAGAGTGCTAATAACATCTTGTTATCAAGCAGACAGAAGCTTTTTAAACCAATATTGTAGATTTTGGTTTAAATCTGAATTCAAGTCAAACAATCATAATGAAGATAAAAGATAACGAGCTACGTTTGGAAACAACAAAGGAAACAAGTCCCTATAGGATTGGCAAGTAAGCAAGTGTCTGTTGTCTTACACAGATTACTAAAAAATTTTAAATAGATTAACCTAGACACCAATATTAACTATCTAAATACCATCACAACCACTGCTAAAACTAATGTTTTCTAGGAAATCAAGTCTAACATTATTCAGTAAATAGCATACAGAGTTAAACATTAAATTGAACATGACACAGAAAATCTCCAGCCTTACAAAATTTGATTTAAATACATAACGTCAGTACCATTAACTACTCAAAGGTACTGAAAACCTGAGTTTTCTTATAGTATTTATAGCTGAAAAGCTCAGAAATAGACTTGTTTTAAGATAAGAAGCCCGATTGTTCAGAAATTCCAACTATTTCTATTAAAGCAAAGTCTGGCAAGATTTTGTTTTTGTGGCAACATTAAAGTTTATGATGCTGAAGAATTTTACTCTACTCAACCTGAGTTTTATCCTGTGTTCCCTTTGATAACTAACTGACACATAGAAAAGTGCAAGGAAAGAATTCAAGATAAAAACTCCCCACTAACCTGCCCCACAAAGTGTCGTCTTCTTACAGAGCTCCGACTATAAAGCTTAATGAGAAAAACAATTTCTTTTTCATTCTGTATAAGTGGAAATATCATAGTTTCTCCCCACTTTACTCTGCCATTGGAGGCCTTCAGTAAGCGTGTCTTCTTCTTATAAATCAACTCTCCTGAACTGAACATTGCCACCTTCACAAAAAAACCTTAAAAATAAGAAATTTTGATATGTAAAATTTTATGTTAAATGTCATATAAAGATATATATCTATACATTTGGTGTGAAAATATAGATGAGCCACTTCTAAAGATTTGATGAGCTATTGGCATAACGGAAAACATCTCTAGTAAACTATAGTTTTAATCACACTTTATAAAAAAACTACAATACTCTGGTTTCTCTTCAGATTGTATAAATCTTTCGCCTTTTACAAAAAACTACAGCAACCTCCAATGCATTTAGTCTTTCTCTAACCTGAATGCCATTAAAGACTGGAAAATGTAGGCCTCAATAACAGTCAGCAATTGGGCAGCACACACTGAAAAGTATTAGACGAAAGAGAGGAGCCAACTCTTTGGACAGCTGGAGGAATTTTGTTCACAGTTTTACACAAGTAAATTTTTTTGCTCCAGACTCCTCAGGTTAAGCACCTACCCACTAGAGAAAATTTACTATTTGAATATATGGAGATGGAGAGCTTCCAGTAATGGTAGAATAGTTGTAGAAACTAAACTAACCTTCCCATAGATTACAATTATAAATTCTGGGAAAAAATACAAAAAAACCTAAGCGCTCAAGACATTAAAGATCAACCAAAAGCAGGAAGAAACTGGTGGAGAGTCAGCTCTTAAAGATGGGCACTGCACCGGGTAAAGTTCAGGTTTACGGAACTTTTCACCTAAGCATACTCCCCCGTCTCACGGATGCACGGTCCCTACAGCTAAGGCAGAGAGGGCAGTCTGCGCAGGTATGGGATACAGCTAGGGCAGCCAGGGCAGCAAGAGCTGAGGAGGGAACTTCCAGAAAAAAAGGAAACTGCAAAGTAAGGACCTAGACGGATCATCAGACTGACAACATGGAGAGTGTGGATAATCCTGAATGTGGTTTTGATCAAAGAAAGACACTATCAATGTCATAAGTAAACGGCATCTGTGGATCTCGACTGATGTCCTTGTGTCCTAGAATTAACCCTATGTAGTCCTGGTAATTTGTTCTTTTAAAGCCAAGTTAGATTTGCTTATTTTTATTTTATGATTTTTCCATCTATCTACGTAAGTGGTCACAGTCTATAGCTGTTTTTTTGTGTGGACTATGCTTTCTGTTTTGATATTGAGAATATGCTAACCTTATAAAGTTACTTTTTCCATTGTTTTTTATGCTTTGGAACAGCTTATATAAAATAGGAATTAAATGTTCCCTGAAAATTTGGTAGAATCCACCAGTAAAATCACCTTGGCCTGGTGCTTTTATTAGAGGAAATTCTTTACCTACACATGGTTATCATTTTATTCATATGCTCTCCCTCTTTTGCAGTGAATTTCTACAATTTCCCCAAATTAATTATTTTACATAAGATGTTTCAAATGAATTGATAGAATTATAAATGTTGTCGTCTTACGTATTATTGAACCACCTCTGAATCTGAAGTGTTATCTTCTTCCTTGTTCATGTTTTCTTTATTTTTTCCTCGATCCAACTTACTATAGGTTTGTCTGTTTTACTGATCTTTTCAAAGAAAAAGCTTTTGGCTTTACTGATTATGTCTTCTGCTGTTGTCTCCATATTTATCAACTTTGACTTTACCTTTAACTCCTTACCTCTCCTTTCCTTTGTGTTTGTTGCTATTTTCCTAACTTCCTGAACATTCAGACATCCACTGCTTTTGCCTGCCTCCAGGTATTTTCTCTTCTTGTAGACGAATAAAGGAGCACTCTTATCCCCGCTCGCAGCCCTGAGGGAGGCCTGCCCTCACACTTCCAGCTCTAGGAACAGCCATGTGACCCAGGCACACACAACCGCTGCACGAGAGCCCCTTCTTGTGTCCAAAGGCACAGGGAAGGAAAAGTGTTTCAAGTCTGTGTTTGGCATTTTCAGCTTTTTAAAAATTAAGTTTCTAGTTACCAGAACAGTCAACCAAGGGCATAGACCTAAAGAAAGGATAAACTATCTAGGCTGGTGAAGTATATCTGACGGTCCTCTGGACACTCACCCTGTGTAAACTAATGAGCCAAATAAGGAACAGCATCAAATGGATAAACATCAAGAGACTATGGATTAAAGTAGATACAATGGCTAAAATCCAATAAGGTAATTTTAAGTTAAAAGGTAAGTATTTAAGATAAATAACAAAAGTAACTATGATTTCAATTTCCATTGTTAAGAAATGTAGATAAAACTACCTTTTGCTAATATTTTCTGAAGACTCCACTTTGAACCACAGATATACTTACTCAAAGTGAGAGGTGATGAACAGCTTGGAAGGTATTGTGCCTCGAGAATCTGTAACTGAATTCTGCTATTTACTGCTTGAAAACAAGTCCCCAGTTCAAGTTCTGCATGGCAAACCTGGGTATCAAAAAAGTGCCATTTGATAATTAAGAATAAAGTTTTGAAGATATTTCAATAATTAAAAAAATAAAGAGCTACAGTTAGAAGTCTTAAAACCAACACTTTTTATTGACCCACAAAATTATGATATAAAATACTGTTAGAATAAAGGCATGGATTTTGTAAATATGAGGTACTCACTTTCATGGATTCTGAAAATCCAAGTTACACCTATGTACTTGATCCTCCAAAACCAGGGAGGTCAAAAGATAATTCAGATTGAAAACAAATTAAATTCCTAAGCAGTTATACGAAAGAAAATGTCCATGAAACAAACACTAAAAAAACATTTTCAAAACACTTAAAGTCATTTGAATTATTTTTAAGAATACGTAAACTATAATAAACGGTTTCATATATGTAAGAATCACCATTATTTTTTCTAACTGTAGACATGGCAGTAGGTGCTACCTAGATTAGAAGACAAAGGATCACTACAAGGAATGCATGCACGGGTTAAGAGCTGAATTACTGTGCTGAACGAGAGCCAGCCAGGAAAGTGAGCAGTAGAAGGAAGCTAGTGAAAGCGACGAGGCAGTAAATAATAAGGAAAAGGTCAAAGAAAACCTGGGGCAAACAATGAAATGAAGGATATTCAGAGGGGAAAACGTTAAAATGTGCTCTTCTGTACGGCTGACTGAAGAAGAAAGTTAGTAATTTGTGAAATGGAACACAAGCCAGCCTACTTATGTGGATTTCAAGGTCCTTGGAGTAAAAAATCAAAGAGAGAAACATAAAGTCATCCAAACAGAAAAATACGACTGTTCACATGTTGAGAAGAATGAGTATGGGAATAAAACAAGAGCACCATGTTAAGAGACCTCACTGGGGCTCAGCACAGAGAGGCACAAACATCTTTGCAAATATGGATTCCAACAAAGCTACAGAATGGCTGAGTGACACTTGATGAAGAGATTTGTTTTTGATAATTACCTAGTATTCCCTAAGCACTGTCACATTAACTCACTGAAAAAGAACTTTTCCTTGTACATGCTGTTGACAATCATGGGCATTCCCTTCAAAATAGGATTCTGCATTTTAAAATTGCTCGTTCCAGGATTAAAAAGGTGTGTGTGTGTGTGTGTGCGCGCACACACACACACACACACACACACACACACAGTGGAATATTACTCAGCCATAGAAAGAATGAGATCTTGCCATTTGCTATAACATGGATGGATCCAGAGGGTATTATGCTTAGTGAAATAAGATAAAAGACAAATACCATATGATACTACTCATATGTGGAATCTAAAAAACGAAATAAACAGACTCTCACATACAGAGAACCAACTGGTGGTTTACAGTAGGGAGGAAAGTGAGGGGATGGATGGAGTACGTAAAGGGAATTAAGAGGTACATACTTCCAGTTATAAAAGAAGTAAGTCATGGAGATGAAAAGTGCAGCATAGGGAATAGAGTCTGTAATACTATAACAGCACTGCATGTGACAGATGGTAACGACACCTGTTGTGGTAGACACACAGTAATGTACAGAATCGTCGAATCATTGTGTTGTACACCTGAAGCTAATATAACACTATATCCCAATTATATCTTAATTTAAAAATAAAGTTTTAAAATTAAATTGGTCATGCCATAAGAAATCAAGAGAGAGAAAGTGAAAAGTGAATCACTTTAAAGAATAAACTCAACTGTCAAGGTTAGACTCCCCCTTGAAAAGTCTAAAATGATTATCAGGGGCGCCTGGGTGGCTCAATCGGTTAAGCGTCCAACTTCAGCTCAGGTCATGATCTCACGGTTTATGACTTTGAGCCCTGCATCCGGCTCTGTGCTGACAGATAGCTCAGAGCCTGCAGCCTGTTTCAGATTCTGTGTCTCTCTCTCTCTCTGACCCTCCCCTGCTCATGCTGTCTCTCTCTCTCTCTGTCAGAAATAAATAAAACATTTTTAAAAATTAAAAAAATAGACAAAATAAAATGATGATCAAACTTGTCTATTTTGGCAACAAATGCTGAATTCTAACTTAAAAAGTGAAAGTACTATTTTTGCTTTTATAATCAGAGTAAGAATGGATTAATATTTGGTAGCCATATAAAAAACAGAGCCTTTTCTTATTTAAAAAATGCTACTGTTCTTGGTATTTCAAAAAAGAGATTATTTAAATACAGTTACTTGGGGTATCTGGCTGGCTCAGGCAGTTGAGAGATTCACTCTTGATTTTGGCTCAGGTCATGATCTCCCAGCTGGAGAGATCAAGCCCTGTGTCAGACTCTATACTGACATTGCAGAGCCTGCTTGGGATTCTCTCTCTCCCCCTCTCTCTCTGCCCCTCCTCTGCCCATGTGCTCTCAAAATAAATAAATAAACATTTTTAAAAACCACACAGTTACTTATTATTCACAAAACACCAAGGAAGCTATGAATAAAATTTTTTTATTATTATGGTTGTGTGCCCACAATGCAATAGCACTTATGAAAACACCTAAAGGTGGCAAAACTTCCCTTAGTGTCACACACTCATAGAGCTCACTCTCACAAAACAAATCAGCGCTTGGCAAAGTGTTTGCTATTTCTAATTTGCCAATGTCATTTCTGAATTCCACTTATTTATTATGTTCCAGGATATTAATTCTGATCGTGAAAAACTATTCAAAGTGGTTTTCATTCTCCCTATAACCAAAAAATTAAAATTCCAATTGGAACATCTGGGTGGCTCAGTTGGTTAAGCATCCAGCTCTTGATCTGGGCTCAGGTCATGATCTCACAGTTTGTGAGACTGACAGCAAAGGGTCTGCTTACGATTCTCTCTCCCTATCTCTCTGTGCCTCTCCCCAACTTGTGCACACCACGCATCCTGTCTCTCTCTTTCAAAGTAAACTTAAAAAAAAATAAAATAAAATAGAATAAAATCCTAATCAACTAGCAGCTATAAAGTGCATTTTTAATGGACACAAAACTATAGAAGATATATGATCTCTAACCCTGAAAAATGTATCATTTTTTAAAGAAAACTTTCTGAGCCTTCCTAGAACCGTTAAAAGTTAAGCTCAGTTAGAGAAAACCATGCTCTGGTGATATTTGAGAATATCTTCTTGGGGGGAAGTGATACATGATAGAGCGGGTCCTGGAATTGATGCTTCTGTTCAAATCCTGGCTCACCAACTACCGGCTGGAGGAAATCACACAAGTGCTTCAGGGTGTTGATGCCCACGGTAGGGATAGTGAGAGAAGGAAGCTCACAGGTTTGAGTGTGAGCAGTAAATTACCTAACACCACATCAGGGGTATGTAAGGTTCTATAAATAAAAACCTTGTCTCTTCTGCATTATTCAACACAAAGATTTGGGTTCTCAAATAAATACTTACATTACTATTTGCCAAGGTCAAGAACTCTGTACTGAGGAAGACATTAGGTTTATATGAAAGTCCTGCTGTTTGTGGTGACATAATGATCATTGTGGAGGATGGGTGTGAAAGTCTGGTTCTGTCACTTTACAATGAGAGTATCAATTTTCCTTCTCGACACAGGAAACAAAGCATACTACTTTTGTACTGGCCAAAAACATGAAACATTCACACCTAAATAAACTCACTGGTCCAATACAGCCCCTCAGCTCTTTTTTCAGGGCATCAATCTTTTTGTACTCCTAACACCCAGCACACAACAGATATACAATTGTTTGTAAGACCTCTAAAACAGGAAATAATTTGGTAGAATCTTAGGCAAAATCATTCACTCAGATTCTCCAAGGCAGGTAAGATGATAACAACTCAATTCTCCAGAAAATACCTTTGCTGAGTTGTCTTCTGATATGCTCGACTAGTCTTTAAAGTTTTGATATATGAACTATCCATTTGAATAATATATTTTGTGCCTTCTGTAAAATGTGGTTGCAGCTTATGTTGTACCAAGTTAGTTCAAAGATGCAAGTGACAAACTCCTTGTCATAGTTACAAAGCAATTTGCTATACTTAAACAGAATATAAAAAGAATCTAGTACAGTATGCTTCCATTCATCATTTACTCTTTCATTCCTACCTATGCACCCAATGGTCAATGCCAAGAATTTAAACAGGCCCTTGCTAAGAACATAGTAAAACATAAAGCAAACAGATAGAAGCTTGAGCCTCCTTTTTCTCTAAAACAAGTAACTGAATTCTAAGTTGTAATAAATACTGTACAGAGAACACCTTGGAGATGGAGACAGAAAATAACAAACAAGAAAGAACTACCCAAAAATTTCACTTCTTGATCAATTATAGAAATCCTTTGTTTTTTATTTTTTAATCTCTAATTTAATTCCCTTCTAATTCAGTGGTTCTCAAGCTAGGGTGCAGAGGAGAATCACCTGGGAAGCTTCTAAAAACTATAGATGCTCCTGGCCTCCTGCCACCCACCTCCCCCCACCTTCCCCACCAAATTCTGATTTAATGTTTAGCCAGGGTTAAGAACCACTTTAAGTCACATTAAATATTTTTGAAGGCAGGTAAAATATAAATCCTATATAAAAGTACATATAGGCTTGACCTTACAAAAGCTTATAAAGATTTAAAGATTAAAAGATTTCTATAACTGTTATCCTCACATAGAAACTATGTATGTAAATTACTAGGGATTTTTAAACAATTTTAAGACAGTGGTCAGCTGTCTAGTTGAGAAGATCCAATATCAGTTCTCAAAAATCAATCACCACTACAGATAATCAAGTTCTTTACAAAAACAGACAACCTAGCTGTAAGGGCCTCTGTTCTACCCAATTTATGGACAAATGTTTAGCTTACTCATGATTAAAACCACTTTCCTAATGTCTTTTAAGGGCCTCCCCCTCCATTTTTTTTAAGTAGGCTTCACACCCAGCCTGAAGCCCAATGCAGGGCTCAAACTTATGACCTGAGATCAGACCTCAGCTGAGATTGAGAGTCAAATGCTTAACGAACTGAGCCACGCAGGCGTTCCAACAGAATTTTTTTAAAGGCAGTATTGATTGAGTTTGGAATTTATGATTCTTTCTTGCTATTCCTAAGTTATCAACTATAAAAATACTTTTAAAAAGTTAACAAAATTACTCATAACTTCAGGAGTATTTTCCCCGAAGTATAAAATGTAAAACATTAATAAAAATGCCCTAGGAGAAGGTAACCCTAATGTTATTTTCAATGGAAAAAGCAAAGGGTCTCTGTTAACTTGTTATCACTTATTTAGAAAGCATTATTAAACACTGACATTATTATTATTATTATTATTATTATTATTATTGCTTCTTGAGAGCCTTCCCGATCCTCTAATATATTCTAGAGTGTTCAAGTTATAAAAGTCATCCATGAAATAATTCTGAAAGTATGAAACACTTTTATAGTAATACCACTATCACTTACAGACATTTTTGAAGGTGGCGTTATATCCAAAGAGTAATCCATTTCCTGTGTGCTAAGAGCTCTGAGTGACAGTGAGCATTCTCCGATGGTTTTCTTCCTGGGAGTCTGTGTTTGAATCTTAAATACAAGCCTTACAGTTTGTAGACTTTGGAGTTTAATAGCAAATACAAAAGTTTCCATAAATTCAATAGTCTAAAAAAAAAAAAACACAGGAAAATAATATAAAATATATAAATAAAATGACTGGAAAAAAATGATATGACAATCCCAAAGAAATGAAAATAACACTTTATAATCTAAGAAAGGAAGATCTAATTTCTTACAACCACAACAAAAATTTTTCGGTGTAAATTAAGATGACAATAACCATGACTTGTCTTTCCAGAATTTATCCTGGATCCTGCCTTTCTTAATTTCACAAATTATCCTTTTAATTACTAAGGGACTCAGGTCAATATCAAAACCAAGGTTAGCAGAATAGAGCTTTTCTCGTTTTTGAAAATTAGGTTGTTTTCCATTTTTGGTTCTGGGGCATCGTTCCTGCTCAACAACCACCATTTTGCAACAGTTAATAAGTGGTTCAAGAATCTCATGTGTGCTCTCTCAGGAAGTCCCCCAAATCTCTGTTCACATTGAGAGACTTGAATTATTTCTGTTCTTTGTCTAATGTTCTTCCCATCTACCTTGGGATTTGATTTCTCTTTTGGGGACGTTTGCCCCACTCTTTCCAATCTGAAAATCAGTCTCCTGGAAAAGTCCTACCTTCTCTCCTAAGCATCCACTCCAGGCAGCAAGTCAGTGCTCAGAATATTTTCCCCAATGTTCCTTTTGTTACTCTTCACATTTTGTTACTCTAACATCTTCTGGACACTAGAATGATTTTTGCTATACAATTCCTTCTTCCCACGTTTACCGCATTCTTTTGAAAAGGAGCTTTTGTGTGTGTGTGTGTGTGTGTGTGTGTGTGTGTGTGTGTGTGTGTGTTTCCTTTTTCCTTTTTCCTTTTGCAAAGGCAAGCGACTAACAACAATATTTTAGATACTGTGACCAAATTGTCACTGTTATTGTGACTGTTTATGTCTGTATGCTCAAAATTGTTTCTGAGAGCCTCCCAACCACCAGAGCTATCTTTTTCTCTGAGTCTCAACCACATGATCACACCAACAATATAGTATACATAAAGTGTTTAATTTTTAAACTGAGATGGAATGAGCTTACACATGCAGTAGTGTGTTGCCTGATTCCACATTTTGCTACAACAGAGGTAAACAAGTTGATACGAAGTAATAAATTAAATTTTTTTAATGTTTTTATTTTATTTTGAGAGACAGAGACAGAGAGGGAGCAGGGGAGGGGCAGAGAGAGAGACAGGGAGACACAGAATCTGAGGCAGGCTCCAGGCTCTGAGCTGTCAGCACAGAGCCCAACGTGGGGTTCGAACGCATGGACTGTGAGATCATGACCTGAGCCGAAGTCGGACGGTTAACCGACTGAGCCACCCAGGCACCCCAGTAGTAATAAATTTTAAAAGTAATTTTAAATTTTAAAATTTAAAACTGCCATGCCAGTTTTAATATAAGAACAATTTCTCCTAACTTAACTCACAATTACATTTGAAAATCAGAAAGTAAAATTGTTTACTTTAGGAAGGATTCATCTTGAATGTCAGCATCATAACCAGAGTTAAGATTTATTTCCATCTAGACTTCCTAAAAGGCATATTTTCATAGTGTGAGATACTAATGCATATACATTAACTTTGATTACTGCCTTTTTACTTATTAAGAACATTTTTCCATGTCCTTAAAAATTCTACCCAAACATATTCTACTGCTGCCTAGTAGTCTATCACACAGTGTTAGGGTTTAAATTTGGCCCCCGGGGGCGCCGGGGTTAAACATCCGACTTCGGCTCAGGTCATGATCTCACAGTTTGTGGATTTGAGTCCCGCGTTGGGCTCTGTGCTGACAGCTCAGAGCCTGGAGCCTGTTTCGGATTCTGTATCTCCCTTTCTCTCTGACCCTCCCCTGCTCACGCTGTGTGTGTCTCTCTCTCAGAAATAAATAAAAACATTAAAGAAAATAAATTAAATTTGGCCCCCGAAAGCTATGCTAAAGTCCTAAAACCCAGTAACTCAGCATGTGACCTTATCTGGAACTAGGGTCCTTGAAGACGTAGCTAGTGATGTTAAGGTGAGGTCGTCCAGGAGTGGGGGGCTGCAAATCAACAGGACTAGGGCCCTCGTAAGAAGGTGGCCACATGAAGATGCAGTGACAGAAGGAAAATGCCATGTGAAGATGGAAGCATAAACGAAGTCAAGGAATGACTCGGATTGCTAACCATTACCAGGAACGAGGAAGGCGGCATGGAACAGCTTTTCCCTCACCACTCAAGGAAGGAATCAACACTAATGACACCTTGATTTCGGACTTACTCTAAAACTGAGAGAGAAACTTCTGTTGCTCTAAGCCACCCAGTTGGTGGTACTTTGTTACAGCAACCTGAGGAAATTAATACACATGGTATAGATAGCACGAATTTTCTCAACCGTTCCCTTATGTGAGACATACAGATAGTTTCCAATTTTTCCCCTATGAACAAAACTGCCAAAAATACTTTACACATTTTTTATTTGCCTTTTAAACTATTTCCATGGAACACATTCCAAGTAGAATTACTATGTAAAAGCATATAAATATTTCAAGGTTTCGATGTGGTTTGTCAAAATAATTTCCAGAAAGTTCAATATTCTAGAGTATTTATAAAGTTTCTTTTCATTTTAATAAGGAAGAAAAAAAGAGAAAGCAATATGCAATTTAAATTTGTATTTCTATAATTACTAGTGAGAGTAAGTTTTTTCATGGTTATTAGTTATTTGAAAAGCCTTATTTTAAAATTATACATACTTATAGAAAACACCTTTCATTTACATGGAAAAATACCAAGCTCTCAACCCATATCAGAAGACAAAAATGAAGATATATTTATTTATTTTTTTTTTAAATGTTTTATTTATTTCTAGGAGAGAGAGAGAGAGACAGCGTGAGCAGGGGAGGGTCAGAGAGAGAGGGAGTCACAGACTGACACAGGCTCCAGGCTCTGAGCTGGCAGTCAGCACAGAGCCCGACGCAGGGCTCGAACCCACGAACCGCGAGATCATGACCTAAGCGAAAGTCGGACGCTTAACCGACTAAGCCACCTAGGCGCCCCAAATGAAGACATATTTAAACTAATGTGAACTCTAAAATCTGTAAAACCAAAGTCAGAGTAAGTTTTCCAGTTATAACAGCTGGGAGTGTATAGAAGAAATTTACTGCAATGGTGCGATTATTTCTCAGACCTAAGTGAGTTAGGAGGAAGGACAATTAAGATACAGACATTCATTTTCCTTTCATACAAGAAAAATAGCCTTAGATACTGTTTATCTTGTACATACTTTCGTGATTAAGATTTTGTTTTTAGGGGCATCTGGGTGGCTTAGTCAGTTAAGCATCCAACTCTAGATTTCAGCTCTGATCCTGATCTCGCAGTTTGTGAGTTCAAGTCCCACAATGGGCTCTGTGCTGACAGTGTGGAGCAGCTTTGAATTCTCTCTCTCTCTCTCTCTCTCTCTCTCTCTCTGCCCCTCTCAAGCTCACTTTCTCACTCTCTCTCTCAAATTAAATAAACGTAAAAAAAATTTCTTTTGAAATGCATCTTAACATTGGGCAATGAAGTATCAAGTATTTTTAAGGCTCAAAATTGTCTTTAAAAAGCAAGACGTGTATAATTTGCAATTTCCTCAAAATAAAACACTTTATTTCAATTCTTTGAGTGGTTTATAGTGACAGGTATTAAAAAAAAAAAACATAAAAAGGAATTGAAACAAAAACAGCCACTTACATTAGAGCCTTCCTTGGCTGAAGATTTGAAATGCACTGGTTTGGGCAACGTTAGTATCCCTTTCACAGAAATAGCAGGAGTGTCTCCACAACTAGAAGGCCAGCTTAAATCTCTGCACTAAAAAAATTAAAAATACAGATTGAATTTTATAAAGGGCTCTGACAATACAAATATTTGATGTATTTCTCGAGCTAATGATTTAAATGCAAACTATAAACGCCAACGAGTCTACTGAGATCTCGTTTCATCTACCTTAAAATAATTTGACATTTACTGTTTTAGACATCATATCAATCTCCTTCTTGAGGCTAAAACCATAATTCCAACATACCTACAGATTTATTTTCTTTAGAGGCTTTATTAAATACTGTTTTCTTCAAAATGCTATAGAATCCTAAATTCCAAAGAAGGCATGGTTCCATTCCCCCAGAGAAACAGTAGATGCTTATGATGAAAATATTCTATTTTGTAAGCATAGTTCATATTAACTAAATTAACTTACCTGTAAAACTGTGATCCAGATCTGTTCTACTGAAGAATTATAAAACACTTTCACATTCAGTCTCCCAAAATCTCTTTCATCTCCTGACAGAGTAATTGTATCTGAATTGTAAAAGGACAGGGACATTTGAAATGTTATGCAATCATTCCACTCCAATTATGCCTTGATACAATCCAATTTTAAGAGTACAACTGAAAAATGGCAAAATTATTCTTTTAACTTGCCACTTTAATTAAAGACAAAAAAGACTCTTCAGTGTTTTATAGCGGGGGAAGACCTGCTATAAAAAGTGCATGGCTTAAAAACTTCACCAAGTATAGCCTAAGAGATTTTAGTTAAAACTAAGATAATCTTTCCCACAGAATACTGATATGGCTTTAATCCTGTATGCTTCTGGAAGTTCCTTCACTAGTATACTTTAAAACAAACAAACAAGAGGTGTGTAACTGCTTTGCCTTTTTTAAAGATGCATTCGTGCCTGAGCACAACAAATGGGTCATGTAATCTGAGTATTCATATGCTGATAACATAGATAAAACCATCTAGAGTCTTTCTTTTTTGCCTTATCATATATATGTTCAAATTACTACTAGGAAGAAATCATCCCCCTAAGAGTATTTTTTAAAAAGGTACTTTATTCCTTACCCAGGCTTCTGTTACTCCCCTGGGAATTCTTCCGGGAAGAAGAACTGCTCGGCACGCTGGACAGAGAATCATGTCTCTAGAGGTGAAATTGTTCTCCGGTCAGGTGTCGCACATCAGACTTCAAGAATTCTGAAACTTATGCCCCAACAGCCCCACCCCCCGCATCAAACTGCATGCTAACCATTTTGACAGTGCTACTGGTCAGACAGTAAAGGGGGAAAAAGGCTTTCTGTGTGTTAACAGGAAAAGTCTTAAATAACTTACTAGATCACATGTGGGGAAAGCCTTTGCCATCTGGGGTTTGGTTTTATAATAAGAAGGAAGAGATTACTGCTTATGCTTCATACTTGAAAGTACTAGTAAAAATAAGAATATATTTGGAAGTGCCCTGTTACTTAAAAACCTGCAAAGTAGCAGCTATGAAGCACAGTCCCTCTGAACCATCAATATCAATATCACCCAGAAATTTGTTAGAAATACAAACTCGGGCCCCAGTGCAGAGCTACCGAATCAAAAGCTCTGGCAACCTGTAGTTTAACAAGTTCTCTAACCAATTCTGATAGACATTAAAAGCTGGTGCTATGGAGAATTAATTCTGCGAAATATTAACTCTACTGAGGATTCTAAGGATTATTTAGAATACATTTCCATTTAAAAAAAATATGCATATACATTTACACAGGAAAAAAGCCCGCAAGTATATGCAACAATAATTTCATAGTGCTTTTATGCCCAGTTACAGGAATATAGGTGATTTGTCTTTTTACTTTGCTTAACTCTACTTTCGAATTTTTGATAATTATAATTTACTTATATATATATATTTTTAATATTTTTATTTATTTCTAGGAGAGAGAGAGAGACAGTGTGAGCAGGGGAGGGTCAGAGAGAGGGAGTCACAGACTGAAACAGGCTCCAGGCTCTGAGCTGGCAGTCAGCACAGAGCCCGACGCGGGGCTCGAACCCACGAACCGCGAGATCATGACCCAGGCGAAAGTCGGACGCTTAACCGACTAAGCCACCCAGGCGCCCCAATTTACTTATATTTTTAAAAGAAACTTTTTTACAGACACATAGACCAATGGAATAGAATTGAGAACTCAGAATTAAACCCAAAAATTACAGCCAACTAATCTTTGACAAAGCAGGAATGAGTATCCAATGGAAAACAGACAGCCTCTTTAACAGATGGTGCTGGGAGAACTGGACAGCAGCATGCAGAAGAATGAAACTAGATCATTTTCTCACACCGTACACAAAAATAAACTCAAAATGGATAAAAGACCTGACTGTGAGACAGGAAACCATCAAAACCCTAGAGAAAGCCGGAAACAACCTCCTTGACCTCAACCACAGCAATTTCTTACTCAGCACATCTCCAAAGGCAAGGGAATCAAGAGCAAAAATGAACTATTGGGACCTCATCAAGATAAAAAGCTTCTGCACGGCAAAGGAAACAATCCATAAAACTAATAAGCAACCGACGGAATGGGAAAAGATAGTTGCAAATGACATATCAAATAAAGGGATAATATACAAAATCTATAAGGAACTCACCAAACTCCACACCCGAAAAACAAAAAAACCAGTGAAGAAATGGGCAGAAGAAATGAACAGACACTTCTCCAAAGAGGACAGCCAGATGGCCAACAGACACATCAAACGATGCTCAGTATCCCTCCTCATCAGGGAAATACAAATCAAAACCACACTGAGATACCACCTCATGCCAGTCAGAGTGGCTAAAATGAACAAATCAGAGGACTCTAAGATGCTGGCGAGGATGTGGAGAAATGGGCACCCTCCTACACTGCTGGTGGGAATGTAAACTGGTGCAGCCCCTCTGGAAAACAGTGTGGAGGTTCCTCAAAAAATTAACAATAGAACTCCCCCTAGGACCCAGCAATAGCAGTGCTAGGAATTTATCCAAGGGATACAGGAGTGCTGATGCATAGGGGCACATGGACCCCAATGTCCATAGCAGCACTCTCAACAATAGCCAAAACACGGAAAGAGCCTAAGTGTCCATCAACGGACAAATGGATCAAGAAGATGTGGTTTATCTATACAACGGAATACTACATGGCAATGAGAAAGAATGAAATCTGGCCATGTGTAACAACATGGATTACCTTGAGCGTAGCAACATGGATGACCTTGAGCGTGTTATGCTGAGCGAAATAAGTCAGGCAGAGAAAGACAAATACCATATGTTTGCACGTATAGGAGGATTAGGAGGAATTTAACGAAGGACCATGGGAGAGAAGACGGACAAAAATAATAGGGGACAGGGAGGGAGGCAAACCATGAGAGACTCTTGAATGCTGAGAACAAACTGAGGACTGATGGATGTGGGGGGGGGGAAGGGGGGTAATGGGCATGGAGGAGGGCACTTGTGGGGATGAGCACTGGGTGTTATATGGAAACCAACTTGACAATAAACTATTCAAAAAATTTAAAAAAAAACTTTTTTAAACATCAAAAAGTTATTTTATTTAAAAGTAGGAGAATGCTGTGTTAACATTAACGTTAATTAAGGCCCTATATCTCAATAGAAATACTATTTTTTATTAACTAGGTAGTTATGATCAACAAGAAAGGTTAAATCAATAAGCACTTTTAACCATATCATTTTAAATTCCAACTGCCTTCAAGATTGCCTGAGTGTATACCAACTGAGAGATGTAAGATTCATTAAGAAGAACAGCAACAACAACTACTACTGTCTTTTACTATTCAACCGAGAGCTTCCTGAAATAATGCACATGGGAGATGCCACGTGTTTACTCTTCAGATATTACCACAGATTTATCTACAAAAAGATTTATACATGTTGTTTCTAATGTAATTCACACATTTCTGAGTTTTTAGCTTGAAGATACGTTATTGGATACATTTATATAAATAATTCACCTGGATGAACCGCTGAGATGAACTTGTAAGATCAAACATAGACTTGCTGAGCCCAGGGGAACTTGGAAGCTTGCTGGTCCTTAAATCACAAACTACAAATGGATGTGAAAAAATTTCTTTATATTAAAGAAGAAACACTGGAATTTTACTTAATCACTATGAACTAAATCTCTGTAGGAATGCATCATAAATATTAACTCAATCTATTTAAGAGATAACTCTCCTAGGGTTGCCTGGGTGGCTCAGTCGGTTAGCCATCTGAGTCTTGATTTTGGTTCGGGTCATGATCTCATAGCTTCCGAGATGGAGCCCCAAGTTGGGGATTCTCCCCACAGCTCCACAGAGACTGCTGGAGATTCTCACTTTCCCTCTGCCCCTCCCCCACTTGCGCACACACCCCACCTCAAAATAAACATATGAAAAAGGAACTCTAATTCTAATAAAGTTTAAAACTTTTTACAATTATTTTTTGTTCCAAACAGAAACCAACATAAATCAAACAACACATTTTCACATCCACATCAACTATCCAGGGAAATACTCATTCTTTTTGCTCACATTACCTAGTTCTTCATCCAATAGGAATACTGTAAGAGAATGTAGGTCCTCTGTGCTAAATGCAATTCAACTATTTAATGAGTACTTATTGCATTAAAAAAAACCTGAATTCCATATGCTCCTATATTTCTAGTTTATATGTCTAGTTTGTGTCCTAAACTAGGAGATTCTTAAAGAATGGAACTCTGTCTACTGTGTATTCTAACACAGCGCTGAAATAAATATTTAAATAAATACTTCTGGTTTGTTTTCAGTACTTGACCCTGAACTCAGTGGTTGAGATAGCTATATAAAACAGTAAAATCTTGAAAAACAGGATTTTATGAACCAAATATATACATTTGTACCAGTTTAAAATTTATATAGTCCTCAAATATTAAACTGAGAAAGTTCTATCAGCATTTTCTATTTTCTTTCTTTATGCTTGTAATCTCATCATGAGTTTGTAAATTTATCATTTTCACTGGATAGAACAGGGAAGAAAAATCTAATAAATACCTATTGTAGAATTTCTGAATGGACAGATGATGTATACAATATAAAAATAATCTGAAAATGAAACTTTTCAAAAAGGGACAAAGAAAATGGAATTTGGAACTATCAATACACATAATTCATTAATCTTTCCATTTTTACATTAGATAGAATACCACAGAGAAGCCACAGTGTTTTTCACATCACTTCTGAAGCCCTGCTTTTCACTTATTTTTGGTTCTTCATAATGAGAATCATCTGTCCCAAGGTCTTAGATTTTATTTGATTTCTACATTTGTTAAAGAGGAACACAAAAAGAAAAAACAAAAAAATTTTCATACCTGATCCATATAGTCTCGCGGCTTCTGAACGTGGAGGGAGGCGTCGGCTCAAGTCAGGTGAAATGTGCTGGTACCTATAGCATGGGTTGTACACATCGTAGCTGGCTCCGTGCTGGGACGAACTAGAAAGTTCTACCTTTCGGTCTCCAAAAGATGCTCTGGCAGATCCTGAAAGTAAGTGTTTCTACAGTTTTACCCTTTTCCTGCAGTTATTAACTTAACAGCTGGTGCGTCCAATGCAAGAGGAAGAAAAATTTTGCCTCAAGAAATAATAAATCACATGTGTTTGAGATACTAAAAAAATTAAATAAAATAAAAATAAAATCAGTACACATTTATTTACTGTGCTCTACAAGTAAAAAGATGATCACTGTTTGACAAAGACACAAAGCATTTATAAAAACTGACCACATGCTGAAATATGCAGAGTAATTTTTTGAAAGGGCCGAAATCACAGTGTGTGCTCTCTAACCACGATACAATAAAGTTAGAAGTCAACAGAAAGAGGATTAGAAAATCTTTACATGGAAATACAAAGGGGCTAGGATAACCAAAAAAGGAAAGAAAAAAAAAACCACTTCAAAAAGTAAAACAAGATTGAAAGATTTGTGCTACTGAGTTTTAAGAACAGAACACTGGCACACAATAAAATAAGACTTAGCAGAACGGAGGCCCAGAATGAGACAGTCATTTTATGGACATTAGATTTACAATCAATGTGGCACTAGATAAGAATGAAGAACAGTCTTTTCACTATAAGGTGCTAAGACAATTAGATATTGATACTGAAAAAAAGAAAAACAACAACCTAAAAAAATTCGTAAAATAGTATTTGCATATGGACTATGGATCTAAATTAAATGTTAAAGGCAAAACTTCTACAGTTAAGTCAATTTACAAGAAAGTTTAGGAGCGCCTGGGTGGCTCAATCGGTTAAGCATCTGACTTCAGCTCAAGTCATGATCTCACGGTTTGTGGGTTCGAGCCCCGCATCAGGCTCTGTGCTGATAGCTCAGAGCCTGGAGCCTGTCTTCAGATTCTATATCTCCCTCTCTCTCTGACCCTCCCCTGCTCATGCTGTCTCTCTCTCTCTCTCTCTCAAAATAAATAAAACATTAAAAAAAAAAAAAGAAAGTTTACACAGCCTTAGTGCTTCTTAAACACAACAGAGCATTATCATAAAAAAGTTTTTTAATAAACTGAACTACATTAAAATTGAAAATTTCCATTATATTGGGATCTTCGAAGAGAGTGACATGGTCACCCATAGAGAGAAAAAAGTTATGTGTAACACATGTAACCAACAAGGGACGCATATCCAGAACCTATGAGAACTCCCACAAATCAGTAAGAAAAAGGCCAGCCCAAACAGAAATTAGCTGCAAGCCTCAAGCAGGCACTTCAGAAGAGAGGCCATCCAAATAGCCACAAACAGGAGCAAGGGCTCAATTTCATTAGTCATGAGGCAAATGCAAATTAAAACTCCAATGAGATTCCACTACAAACTCACCAGCATGGTCACAATGAAAAAACCTGATAAAAGCAAGTGCAGACAAGAACGTAGTGCAGTATGAATTATCGTATTTCTGCAGGAGGGGATGTAAACTGAGGCAGTCACTGGGGAGAACAGTTCGGCAATTTCTACTAAGGCTGAGATCCATATGCCCTATGAAGTGGCAGTGCCCTTTGGGGACATACACACCAATGAAATGCCTGCACGTGTGCACCGAGAGACCAGTACAAGAACGCTCAGAGGCATTATTATCCGTCATGGCCAAAATGGGAAAAAACTCAAATGTCCCTTAACAGTAAAATGAACGATAGTCGATACTTACTACATAAAAATACTTTCTGTATGCTATGCAGAAACACTACTGTGTACCATGTAATTTAGAATAAATGAAAATAAATGTATTTTCTGTGCAGATATTAAAACTGAAGCTATTGACAACAATTTGAGTGAATCTTACAAAAATATGTTGAATGAAAGAACCTATCATAAACAAGACTATATACTGAATATATAATTTCATTTACATAAGGGTCAGAAAACAGAAGAAACTATAAACCATGACCTTGAGGAATAACTGCGTAGGTGGTAAAAAGTAAGAACAGCACGAAAGCCGAGAATTAGAACAGTTGGGACACTGAAAAGGGGGAAGATGGAAGCTTCTGGGCTGCTGGCAACACGTACTTGTTTATCTGAGTGGTGACCATACACGTTTGTAATAAATCACTGAGCTACATATTTCTGTTTTGTTCCTTTTTTCTCCACGTGCATATTTCACAATTTAAAAAGGGTAAAACAACAGATCAAGTTCCTTTCAAAGTTAAGAATCACACTGGAAATAACATAGAGACATAAAGTTTCTAAGAGTTTAAGTTATTGCCATCTTTTAATTCTTTTTGTCCCATTTAAAATAGAACCCACAGTTTTAACCAATATTTTCTGAATTAAGCTAAACAATAAAACAGGTGGCTTCACAATGAGTTCAGAAAAGAAAAAGAAAATATGGGGTTATGAGGTGAGAGCTTATCCTCACCCCAGTTCAAATAACTGTGTGTGCAATCCAAGCAAAATACACAGGCAGAGGGGCGCCAAGAGGGAGTTCTGATGCCAGAGAGCTTTGTAAGGAGCCTGTGCACCTTATAAGCTAACCCTTAAATCATTCAGCACACAAACACTGCTACAAGTCTGTTTATGGTAACAAGAATACACTGTCAAGAGTAGTAGTACCAAAAATGACTCATTACCTTTATAGGCTATACCTAAAAAAGAATATTCTGATTTCATTTTTCCTTAACAGAATTCCAATTTTCCCCTCAAAGAGCGTACAGTGATATTATTTTTAAAGCTCAAGAGGAAGTTTTCTCAATTTACAGAACCACAGTGCTATAAAACTAAATGTAAAGGAACATTTACTTTACACCTCTCAAAAGCTCTATTTAAAATTTCAGTATTTATTCAAAATGCATTCTCTTAACGGGTAGGTAGATAGACATGAGATAAAGGAAGCGTGGTAAGGTATTAATGATAGAATCTCTGTGCTACAAAGCAGTACGCTATGGCTGTCATCAGACATATCAGTGAGAAATGAAACAAAACACATTTCAAATACTTGAAATAGGTTTAGTCATTACTGATGGTGGTCTGCCCTATCTTCTTCTCAATATGTCCCTGTCAGCCCATCACTCACAAGCACATCCACATACAACCTGCACATGTCTGACTTCTATAATTAGGCACCAAACTTTCTTGACTCTAATAGTTTTCTCTCCAATATGATACCACATCTTCATTGAGACTATAATTTAAGTGTAGACCAATTTCCCACTCATTCAAACCAAAAAGCAATCTGTTTTCTAGAGATTTATTGAAAATGAAAAGACAAAAGAGAAACTATCACATATTGCTAGGTAGATATTTCTCATTTTTATTATGAAAATAATACATAAAATACCCTAAATATTTTAAGAATATAAAATGTATTACATAAATTATGGTACATCTATAGATTTAATACTATGGGGCCATTAAAAAGCAATGAGTATAAAAACATGTTCACAATGTATGCTGGGACTAAAACACATTACAAAACTGTTTATATGGCTTAATCCCAATGCTGTTAACAAGTATGAGAGAAGGAGAAAGACCAAGTGTCAAGGTACCCTGTGACCCAAGGCTTTTAAACACTGTTTGTGAGAGATACTACTGATGTGTGCAAAACCAGGTGATGGGCCAGGCACAGGGTTCCTCTTTCCTCGTTTCTCTAAAAGAAAAAAAGAAAGAATGGATGGATGGATGGATGCATGGATGGAAGGAAGGAAGGAAGGAAGGAAGGAAGGAAAAGATAGATCACTTCTGCCAAACCTAACTCTCCTGTAGACAACAGCACACTGTAGACCAAAAACAAAATGAACAATAACCCTGAAGGGACTGGACAGTGATCAAAAACAGTGCAGATTCTGGAGAGCATTGGCTCTTGGAAGAAAGGGAACGGCCGTCTGTTTTAATGACTGTTAGCCTCAGGGCAAGCCAAAGTTGGCGCTGCACAGGGCGGATAAGCTCCAACAGAAAAATCCACACTCTTTTTGGCCCGAAGAAGCAGAGGGCAGAGTTCAGAGCAACCACAGCTGCTAGAAAGCAAGGTGGAAATCTTGGAAAGGAGAAAACTCCAGATTCTGTGAATACAGTTTGCTCAAATATCTGGCTGAACCACACATATGTGGGATGGACCCCAACTAAAGATACATGGGGTCTAAGCTAAGAGCTGCTTGCTACCAAAGACACAGAACTTGCAGCATAGTCTAACCAAGTTAATCACCTGGTTAAAAAAAGAAAGAAAAGGGGTGCCTGGGTGGCTCGGTCGGTTAAGCGTCCAACTTTAGCTCAGGTCATGATCTCACAGTTCATGGGTTCAAGCCCTGTGTTGGGATCTGTGCTGACAGCTAGCTCAGAGCCTGGAGCCTGTCTTCAGATTTTGTGTCTCCCTCTCTCTCTGACTCTCCCTTGCTCATGCTGTCTCTCTCTCTCTCTCAAAAATAAATAAAACATTAAAAAAAATTTTTTTAAAGAAAAAAAAAACGCTCTCATCTCAGAGTAATCTAACAGATTCTCAAGTGTCTACAACACAATATCCAACATCCAAAATACAATCCAAAATTACTCCATACACAATGAAACATGAAAAGGTCACCCATTTTCAAAAAAAGAAAAGCCACAGAATCCACACCTAAGTGACTCAGATGTTAGAATTAGCAGACAAAGATGCTATCGTCCAAAGACATAAAAGAAAATAGGCTCACAATAATGAAAAACAGAAAATGAAATCACAACAGAAGAATAGAATCTACAAAAAAGAACCAAATGTGAATTCAACAACTAAAAAATATAATGTCTAAAATAAAAATTCACTGGGATGAGCTTAACATCTGCATGGAGATGACCAAGGAAAAAGATGGTAGTGAATTTTACAATCAGTAATATCCAATCTTTAAATTTTTTTTTTACATTTATTTATTTTTGAGAGACAGAGAGAGACAGATCATGAACAGGGGAGGGGCAGAGAGAGAGGGGGAGACACAGAATCCGAAGTAGGCTCCAGGCTCAGAGCTGTCAGCACAGAGCCTGATGCAGGGCTTGAACCCATAAACTGTGAGATCATGACCTGAGCCAAAGTCGGACGCTCAACCGACTGAGCCACCCAGGCACCCCAATAATATCTCATTTTAAGAGAGAGGGGCAAAAATGTTGAACAGGAAAAAAAAAAAGTCTCAGAGACACATAAAAAACTATAAAAAGGTCCAACATATGTCTAACTGGAATCCCAAAATGAGAAGAGAAAAAGGATGGGGGCAGCTGGGTGGCTCAGTAGGTTGGGTGTCCAACTTTGGCTCAGGTCATGATCTCACGGTTTGTGAGTTCAAGCCCTGCATCAAGCTCTGTGCTGACAGCTCAGATCTTGGAGCCTGCTTCAGATTCTGTATATCCCTCTCTCTGCCCCTCCCCTGCTCACACTCTGTCTCTTTCTCTTAATTGGGGATGAGCACTGGGTGTTCTATGGAAACCAACTTGACAATAAACTATTAAAAAATAATAATAAAATAAAAAAAGAATAAATGTTTTTAAAAAAAGAAGAAAAAAACGATGGGGCAGAAAAGACTATTTGGAAAAATTATTTTAGATTTTGAAAGGAGTCTAGATTACACTGTTATATGCATTTGTCCAAACTCAACAAATACAAACTTAAAACTTAGGTAGTTTGTTAGGTATAAGGTTTTTATCAAAAAAAGAAAACTATAAACAGATACTGAACTCTAATAAACTACACATATGCTTAAGCACTTAGAAGTATACTAATGTCTGCAATTTACTTTGAAATGTGTTCTTCACCCACCCCACCCCCACTCAAAGAGGATTAATAATGGATAGAGGAGGGGTGCCTGAGTGGCTCAGTCGGTTACGCATCTGACTTTGGCTCAGGTCATGATCTTGTGGTCCATTGGTCTGAGCCTCGCATTGGGCTCTGTGCTGACAGCTCAGGGCCTGGAGCTTGTTTCAGATTCTGTGTCTCCCTCTCTCTCTCTGCCCCTCCCCAGCTCATGCTCTGTCTCTCTCTGTCTCAAAAATAAATAAACGTTAAAAAAATTTAAAAAAAATAATGGATAGAGGAATTGATAAGCAAGATATGTGATTAACTTTGGTAAAATAGTAAAGTAGATTCTATGTATTGGACATTCACCATTATATTCTTTCAACTTTTCTGTATGTTTGAAATGTTTCATAATAAAACTTTGAGGGGAAGGCGGGAAAACTGTGACAGTGTTTCAACAGACTGAAGCAAATTGTTTTTAAAATACAAGAGTTGGGGCGCCTGAGTGGCTCGGTTAGTTGAGTGTCTGACTTCGGCTCAGGTCATGATCTCACAGTCTGTGGGTTCAAGCCCCGCATCAGGCTCTGTGCTGACAGTTCTCAGCCAGGAGCCTGCTTCAGATTCTGTCTCTCCCTCTCTCTTTCTGCTCCTCCCCCACGAGTGTGTGCATGCTCCCTCTCTCTCTCTCTCTTTCAAAAATAAATATTTTAAGGGGCGCCTGAGTGGCTCGGTCGGTTAAGTGTCCGACTTCGGCTCAGGTCATGATCTCACAGTTCATGGGTTCGAGCCCCGCATCAGGCTCTGTGCTGACAGCTCAGAGCCTGGGGCCTGTTTTGGATTCTGTGTCTCCCTCTCTCTCTGACCCTCCCCTGCTCACACTGTCTCTCTCTCTCTCTCAGAAATAAATAAAACACTAAAAATAAATAAATATTAAAAAATGTTTTAAATAAATAAGGCCACATCTACACCCAGATGTGTTGAATGTATCAGATTTCATAATGAGATCTTTCAAAAATATTATACATTAAGTTCCTCTACAGAAAGAGCAAAGCATGTAAGAAATAAAACGTAAAATTTATGTATAAAAGAATTTTACATCTTTAAACATATGGAAGAGTGAAATGACAGAATCAATGACATTTCAATGCTACATGTTGATTTTTCAATCTTGCCGTTTTATTGTTTACCTTCGAGTTCTTCCAGATGTGAAGGAGTTCCTTGTACCCTGGGCTGAACATAAGATAACTTAAACTTGGGCACCACAAATGGCACCTCTTTACCATCAGATGGTAATTTGGAAAGTAAATAGTCCTCAGTACAGCCGACCTGAGGCTTTACCGAAACAGAAGTCAATGGAGGTGCAGATGCAGAGGTACTCTGACATGCCGACACTGCTGATTTCAAGTCTCTTTCTGTGGAAACTGCATATAAAAGAGGACAAAAGAAGAGAAAAATCTCAAATATGAATGTAGAGTTATATATAATAATCTAAAGTTAGCATGCTTTCGTACTTAATCTTCTAGAAGAAACTGCTGATAGAGAAACTACTACTTCTAGGTCCTACTAAGCACTTCTGGAATCTACATGAATTCTGTCCAGGCAATATTTGCAAAATTAACATAATACTGCCAAAGCATATTAACTTATCATAATGGTAAAAGCAGTTTTTAAAAAACTCATTCCCACGAAAAGAATTCACAGATGGAAAACAAGTTTATTTTGTAGTTAATTCCACAATACTTTCGAGTAAAAGCCAGGCATTTAAAAATATTGCCAATGACTAAAATGAGCAAATCAGAGAACTCTAGATGCTGGCGAGGATGTGGAGAAACGGGCACCCTCCTACACTGTTGGTGGGAATGTAAACTGGTACAGCCCCTCTGGAAAACAGTGTGGAGGTTCCTCAGGAAACTAACAATAGAACTCCCCTATGAGCCAGCAATAGCAGTGCTAGGAATTTACCCAAGGGATACAGAAATGCTGAGGCATAGGAGCACGTGTACCCCAATGTTCATAGCAGCACTCTCCACAATAGCTAAAACATGGAAAGAGCCTAAGTGTCCATCAACAGATGAATGGATCAAGAAGATGTGGTTTATCTACACCATGGAATACTACATGGCAATGAGAAACAATGAAATCTGGCCATGTGTAGCAACATGGATGGACCTTGAGGGTGTTATGCTGAGCGAAATAAGTCAGGCAGAGAAGGACAAATATCAGATGTCTGCACGTATAGGAGGATTAGGAGGAACTTGAAGGAGGAACAAGGGGGAGAAGAAGGGCGGAAATGGTGGGGGAAAGGGAGAGAGGCAAACCATGAGAAACTCTTGAATGCTGACAAAAACTGAGGACTGATGGACGTGGGAGGGAGGGGGGATGGGCATGGAGGAGGGCACTTTGGGGATGAGCACTGAGTGTTATGTGGAAAATAATTTGACAATAAACTATTTGTAAAAAAAAAAAATCATTAAAAAAAATAAAGTTCATATTTGACTAAAAAAAAAAAAAATATTGCCAATGAAGCAATTCTTGTTGTCTGTACCAGTGGTTAGAATCCGTCTTAAATATACAAAGCAATTCTGAAAAGAAGCTAAAGGTCTCCAAGTCCACAAAAATCTTCACTGAATCACAAAATAAAATGTATTTTTACCATATAATAGCAACTCTCCATGTTAGCTTCTGTGACCTATTTTGTCCTTTGTCTCAAATTATATATGTGTTTCCTAAGCTGGTGACTTAGGCTGGGGAGGTGAGGGACACCCAGAGTTCATCTTTACGTAAGAGCAGTATCGTCTGTTGACCGAATGGAAGTACAACTACTACTGTGTAGAAATTTATGAAATGTTTTAATGCAGAAAGAAGCCTTCCTATTCAAAGATACTAGGGAGCTATGCTCCAGACAATGAAATACAAGAAAAAGCCAAAGGAAAATAAAGTTTCAGTCATAACTCTGAAGAAGCAAGGAGACCACTGAATAGAAAGGGAAATGTCCAGAAGTTCTTCATAAATATGGGGTCTTGATGAAATAGTGAGTCTCTTCTCCATTAGTCATTCATTTGCGAAAGCCATTTTTAATACACTGTCACAAACTAGAAATTGTCTTTATTCAAATTAAAACATTTGCCAGAGTATACTGTCTCCAAACACACCCAAAACCTCTTCTCTCCCTGCCTTTGCCTGTGCAATTTCATCCACCTACTAATCCTCACATCCACTCTTCACCTTCTCGTACTTTCTTCTTCCCACTCAGACTCCCATACCAAATGCCACCCTCACAGGGGTGATGTCCCAGGGTATCCGTTGGGTTGAATTTCTCTCTCTCTCTCCCTCTCTCCCTTCCCATTCCCCAGGGTACTTTATGATTTACCTGGTGTGCCTTATATTTATGTCTGCCTCCCCCATGAAGTCAGGAAATACTTCTCATTTATATTACCAAAATACCACAAATAGAAAAGATATTAAATAAATGTGTGTTGATGTAAAAAGAAGCCAAACTCACAATTGTGCTTTTCTGTCTCACCATAGAAACATCCCCTACAGCAGCTCTTTATAAATTCTGTTGCCATTACATACAATTTCCAACAGCCGGCAATTGATACAAACTTCCAATTTTAATATTAATCTGTTGGTAGAACAGAAAACAAGTTATGATCAGGCTTAATGCATTAGGTATCACTAAATAAATCATATTATCGATGTCTTTCTAAGATGTAATAAGGAATACAAAGCAAAAATGTTTTGAGGAAGATAGATTTTTTTAATCTTATATATAATTTCATACAGGCTAGGCTTCTTAAAAGTTATCAATTAAAAGGACATGCTCAAAAATCGCTAAATGAACAATCTCAATGTTAAACTTGAAAAAAAAGAAAAATTCCACTGTCTTCTTTTTTGCCAGGTATACTCAAATCAACGCTCCAGCAAATTTTGCAAGAAAATATGGCACTCATAAAAATTGAGAAAAATTTCACTTCCTCCAAATCAATTCTTTTGGTAATCCAAAGGTCCTATAAATGGGGCTAATAAACAACAATACTTTTAAGTTGGTTTAACATTAGAATTACACCAACAGAAAAATATATCTCAAACCCTGTATTACACACACACACACACACACACACACACACACACACACACAGATACTAGCTAACTAAACCACATATAACATAAGATGGAAATAAAAGGAGTCTGTCTTATTTTTTTGAGATTTTATTTTTAAGTAATATCTACACCCAATGTGGGATTTCAATTTACAACCCCAAGATCAAGAGTCGCATGCTGTACCGACTGAGCCAGCCAGGCGCCCTGGGAGTCTGTTTTAAATTTACCAGAAACATAAAATTGCATAAGGACTTTATGTCTAGTTGTCCATCTTGGGCTGACTGACTATATTCCAAATGCACTTCCTTCATTTATGCCTACTTAAACTCTGTACATTTTTCATGGGAAATTCCAAATGTATACAAAGATGATAAAATGGTGTAAGAAAATCCCTATCACCCAGACTAACGAGTTACCAGCTCATGGCAAATCTTCATTCATCTCTACCTTCCCACTTCTGTTTGTGGGATCTGTAAGTAACAAATCTTCTCACTTTATTTACTTCCTTTGTGTGGGTGTACTGAAACTGTGTCTTCAAACAAAACAACCCCAGGCGTTTTCATTTCCCCAAAGTGGGAGCTCAGATGATGAGGGAACTGCCTGCAGACCCCTGGGGGTGGCTTGTACCTCCCCGTGCAGCAGGCCATAATCCACATATTCTCAATGCAGTATGCTAGCTCCGGCTTCCCAATACAGACACCAGCAGAGTATCTGTTAAAAAGCTGGATGTTTGCCAATCTAGACAGGAAAGAAATGATACCTCACGTTGTTTTAATTTGAATCTTTTTTACATGAGGTTGGGCACCTTTTCATAGAAGGCTAATCTGTATTTGTTTCTATGAACTCAATGTTCATTATCTTTTTTGCCCATCTTTCTATAAAGCTATTGGTCCTTTGCTGCCTCAGTTTTAGAGGATTTTTATATAGTTGAGAGATTAATGCATTATCCATGACATAAGTGGCAAACTTTCTTCCAGTCTCATTGTCTTTTTATAGTATTTTCTGCTTAGACAGAGAGGGAGAGAATGTGTATATATATATATAGATACATACACAAAAACATATATGAATGTGTGGATATACACATACATAGTTATAGTTACCTATGTTTTTTCCCTTTTTGCTTCTGGATTTGGAGTCACAGAAAACTTTTCCTCATATATAGGTCATAAAAGACTTTACCCATGGTTTTTTCTAATACTTAATATGATGTCATTTTTTATATTAACACTGCTGTGTACAGTATGAGAAGTAGATTCAGTCCTGTCTTTCTCAATTGGCTATTATAGTATCATAAATACCATTTATTTAAAATTTTGTATTTTCTCCAATGATGTTAGAATGCTGCCTTTATTATACACTAAATTTCCATAGACAATTGAGATATTCTGTATTTTCTAGTCTCTTCAACTGTACTGTCTTTTCCTGTACCACATTTTAAAATGATAGGGTGCCTGGGTGGCTCAGTTAGCTAAGTGTCTGACTTCAGCTCAGGTCATGATCTCACAGTTTGTAGGTTCCAGCTCTGCCTCAGGCTCCGTGCTGATAGTTCAGAGCCTGGAGCCTGCTTCTTAGTCTGTGTCTCCCTCTGTCTCTGCCCTTCCCCCCTTCTCTCTCTCTCTCAAAAATAAATATTAAAAAAAAAAACAATAAATAAAATGATAATGGCCTGTAATAATATGCTCTCATATGCAGCAGGGCTGGCCCCCCAACCTACTGCTCTTCAATTTCAAGGTTTTCTCAGCTTTCCTTGTTTTTCTATTCTTACTAATGAACTTTGTAATCTGTCCTTAGCCCCAAGAGGAAAAATATAATGGTCATTTTGTTGGGATTCTGTTACATTTATAAATGATTTTAGGAAAAATCCTGACATTCTTAAGATGCTGTGTATGCCTACCCAGAACATTTGTTCCAGTCTGTGTTTGTATTTTGGGGAGTTTTTATAGTTTTTCTCATATAAATGCAGAACTCTTCTTGTTAAGTGTATGCCTTTAAAATTTTTTTTAAGGTTTATTCATTTTTCAGAGAGAGAGCATGCATGGGGGAGGGGCAAAGAGAGAGGGAGACACAGAAGGTGAAGCAGGCTCCAGGCTCTAAGCTGTCAGCACAGAGCCCAACCCAGGGCTCAGACTCAAAAACCGTAAGATCATGACCTGAGCTGAAGTCGGACACTTAACCAACTGAGCCACTCAGGTGCCCCAAGTGTATGCCTTTAAAATGTTTTTGGCTATCAGCAAGGGCATCTTTTCTTCCATTATATCTTGTAACTGATTTGTTTTAAAAATTGATACATTTTCAAAATCCCTTTTTAGCTCTAGTTTAAAGGATGCATTCCTTGACCACTCAGACCATACTGATTTCTCTCATTTCTAAATATCCAATGAACTTTAAATATATATACACATATATTTTTTTCTTTACACTTATGATGCTTGTTTTCTCTCCCCTTCTAAAATATAAACTTTTCAGAAACAATATTCTACTCACCCTGTGTGAGACTGGGAAGTCTCACACTAGTAGGAACTCAGCATATATATAGTTGATCAATAAGGGAACAAAGTATAACTACCTCAAATAGAAACTCCTGGCAAACTCATCAAACCACATTTCTGACCCCAGCCAGCCTGCAAATACTTTACATTAATCATGAAAGGAATGTGGGAGGACTGGTTAAAAACCATTGCTACTTCTGGGGAAAAGGTCCTCAAAGCTGACGGCCTTGAGTCATCCAAACTGGGGACTAAGGGGGAGGGATGCAGAAAAGGAAACAAGTCTATGTAAATAAGAATAAGGCAGATAGATGGGGCACCCGGGTGGCTCAGTCGGTTAAGCATCCGACTCTTGATTTCAGCTCAGGTCACAATCTCAGGCTTCACGAGATCAAGTTCCGCACTGGGCTCTGCACTGACAGCATGGAGCCTGCTTAGAAGTCTCTCTCCATCTCTCTCTGCTCCTCCCCAGCTCATGTTCTCATTCTCGTTCTCTCGCTCGCTCGCTCGCTCTCTCCCCAAAATAAATAAATAAAAATGTAGAAAAAGAAGGCAGACAGAGTCTGCATGACAGACTACTGGACAGCAGAGAGGTGCACACAGAGACAACCACAGACACAGGGCCCAGCCCAGCATTCAGCAGGGCACTGCTCAAAGCACGCGTGCAAGCAAACTGCGCAAGGCTGGGCACAGACCACCAGAAGAGATTAGAAAAACCGCACTGTCACTCATCTAAGTCAGGAATCATGCCTGTCCCCACCAACCAAACCGGGCTAACCTCAACATTCACAGGATACTGGGCAGAATACTCAGAAGGCTCTTGCCTCGGTGAGGCAATAAATAGTCCTAACTGAATGCTAGTCTGCTTGCCAACCAACAAATTTAAAAAGCAAGAGTCAAAAGGATCCAACCGTTTTCAAAAAAACTAGGTCCCAGGGCACCTGGGTGGCTCAGCTGGCTAAGCATCTGATGACTTCGGCTCAGGTCATGATCTCACGGTTCACGAATTTGAGCCCCGCATTGGGCTCTCTGCTGTCTGCACACAGCCTGCTTCAGATCTGTCTCCATCTCTCTCTCTCCTTCCCCCGCTGGTTCTCTCTCTTTCAAAATAAATAAACAAACAAACAAATATGTCCCAAAGCAAAAATTACTATTCTATATCGAGCACACAAGGTAAAACTCACAATACCTGGCATCCAATTAAAAAAATGACCAAAGATGCAAAAAAAAAAAAAAAAAACTGGGAAAAATCAACCAACTGGAACTATCCAGAAATACACAGACTTTAAGGATATTAAAACATTTCTGATGGGGCACCTGGATGGATCAGTCAGCTGGGTGTCTGACTTCAGCTCAGGTCATGATCTCACAGTTCGTGGGTTTGAGCCCTGCATCGGGCTCTGTGCTGACAGCTCAGAGCCTGGAGCCTGCTTCTGATTCTGTGTCTCCCTCTCTGTCTGTTCCTCCCCCATTTACGCTCTCTCTCTCAAAAATGAATAAATGTTAAAAAAAATTTAAAAAAACCATTTCTGACACTATATGTTCAAAAAGTTAAGAAGTGACATGAAAGATACAAAAAAGATGCAACTTTTAAAGATGAAAATCATAATATCCAGTGTAGAAAATACACTGGAAGGGATTAATAGCAGATTAGATATTGCAAAAGATTAATGAACTTAAAGTACAGGTAAAGAAACCATCCAGGGGCACCTGGGTGGCTCAGTTGGTTAAGTGACCAACTTCAGCTCAGGTCATGGTCTCATGGTTCATGGGTTCGAGCCCTACATCGGGCTCTGTGCTGACAACTCAGAAACTGGAGTCTGCTTCGGCTTCTGTGTGTGTGTGTCTCTCTCTGTCCCTTCCTTCCTCATGCTCTCTCGCTCTCTCTCTCTCTCTCTCAAAAATAAACATTAAAAAATTTAAAAAAAAAGAAACTATCCAAAATGAAATGAGAAAAAAGAACAAAGACAAAATAAAAAGAGCATCTGTTGACCCATGAGATTTTCAGCAGCCTAATACACATGTACTTGAG